GGCAGCTTCCAGAACAACAGAAAAGAAAATTGAGAGCCTTGGAAATTGATTTACTCAGGAGATCTTAATGGATAACAATATCTAGAAGGGAAAGAAAAAGGAATGAACAGGTTAAGGAAATAATGAATATGCAACATGATATTATAGAGGAAATTGAAAAGAAATAACTCACTTGGTTTGGACATGTATAGCGAATGGACAAGAGAAGACTCTCCAGTATTACAATACTATCATTGTGTGTAGAGAGATAAGTGACCCTTCAATTTTGCCATTAAATGTTAATAGGAAAACTGGAATGTCAATTATTCCACTATACTAAATGTATTGTTGTAAAGCAATGGCATACTAATTTTGGACAAAACCTTGACTTATCACCTTTTACAAGCGCACCTGCCCCCTTTCAGACCAAGTGGCTATAATTCTGTGCATGAATTTATGGTTGTAGCCAAAGACATGAACTAAATTTAATAAAGCAGTCACCGGGTAGTTTCAGTTGTTTATTGCTGTATTTTCTTCTTTCCCATTTGCTGTATATTGCTCTTTTCCATTTATTTCTGTATTTTCCAGTAATTGTGTATTAGGTATAATGAGGAATACACTTGTAAAATAGATATCGAGAATGTAAGCCATCACAGTTTAGTTGAATTGTAAATAGTGGAGATTGTTGTTGTATAGAAACATACCAAGCACATCTCTATGCAAGTAAATGGTTTTGATACTTTTCTTGAAACAAATAGTTTGTTGCTCTCTGAAATGTAAAGTATATTTTGCATTTTTGAATTATTTAATATCAGTCCTAATTTTCGCATCATAATGTGCGATAAAGAAATTTTACGTAAAGAAAAATAAGTTTCAAATTTGTATTATGATAACGAGAGAAATTATTTTAAGGTGTGGCACCTTTTCAAAAAGATACCTTTTTCGTACAGATAGTTTAATACATGTATTTGTGGGGAGGAAATGCAGCAAAATGAGCACAATTTGTTGCACCTTTTCTTGAGATTACTACATTTTGCCACCTTTTCCCAATTTTTTATGCTTAAGCACTTTTTCTTCACTCTATTCTGCATTTTTAAATGATTGGACTGAAAAATGTTTTTTTCTCTTCTTGAACAGCGTTTTAAAATCTCATTAAATTAGAAGTCATCTCATTAAAATATCATTTATGTCAACTACCAGTGATTTATATCCCAGCAACAATGGTCAATCCGTTGCTGTTAAGTCAAATTTCAACAATTTTGCTGCTACAGTTTAATCTCCTGAATTTAAATGCTGCCCAAGCAGGCAAATCAGGACATTTAAATGAGTGTGCAGAAATCCACTTGCCTGTGACCTTAGGAAAATGTTAACTTTTGCCATTGTTACACCATCAATACTCAAAAGAGCACTGGTGTATTTGGAGGGGAAAGGAGAGGGGAGTCAGGGAAGTTGCCTGTGCCTGCAAGAGCACCAAGGTCAGATAGTATACGACAGATGTTTCCACACGAACAAGTGCTCATGCATGCGTAGTTTGACATGCCTGCAAAGTACATTCTACTTCTATTCCACCCCCGGGAAGTTCAGTCAGTACTGACAATTGTTTAGTAGTTTGTATCTATGACAGTGTTGGATAAGGTGCTATGAACCACCTCTTACAGACTCTATAAAGAAGAAAAAATTGGTACTAAATGATATGTACAGTATATTCTAGAATAAGAGTTCATGTAACTGATTTATACGTTAATACAGTTATTTCAAGTTTAGTTTCTTTCCTAATGTATTTTCAGAACTTTTTCCCCCTTTTATGACCATACATTGCACTTCTCTTTCCGTAATCACTCCACTGCTGCTGCTGCTGCTGCTCACTCCAAGTTTTTTGATGTTGCACATCCTCCAAATCTAAACTTTACTAAAAAATAAAATAAAATTTCTGAAAAATATTACCCATAAATTTCTTTCTAAAAATATATTTTTTATTCTTTAAAATAAAATTACTTCATAACATTAACTGAACAGCTGTAATAGATTAACACTGTCTCTTATGCGGAACAGCCGAAGCACTCTTGTCCCATTTCGCAGAAGATACAGAGTTATTCTATATCACATGTCAACCCAACACCTAAGTTGACTCTGAATTTAAGATAGCCCCTAATTTTGAAGAGGCCTCCTGAGAATTTCTAGCTAATTCTTTCTATTTAGTCCTAATGAAATTGCAAATTGACTAGAAAGTTGTCTCGTGGAAAAGTATAGTATTTTACTTAGTGTTAGCTTATGCCTAAGCTAACACACTTTTTTTGTTCCCTAAAATCATCATAATCATGATTTTGTCACTACTCTCTTGATCTATAAATGTATTATTGGTTTCCTCCCTAACTACTCTTTGCTACGCTTGAATTTGCATAAGTCTTTCAAAGGACACCACCATCCCCTTCTTTGCCACCAGATTTTCTTCCTATCCTGCTCTTATTCGTGACCTAGGATCCTTTAAGATCCATAAAAATTCAATTTCTGAACATAATAAACAATTCACAAATGTTTGCGTGATTGATTTGTAAACTGCAAACTTACATCTCTGTTTGGTGGGTAACCTGGGAGATAGCAAGTTTCCAATTTTGGAAAGAATTTGCTTAAAATATATTTGTTTGTTATGACTTCTTCTTCTTTATGGTTGGATGTAGAATATGTTCGTAATTTGTTCATTGAATTGTTTAATTTCCTCCTACAAAATGCAATTTTTCACTCGCGGGCAGACTTCGCTTGGTTCTGTCGATTCTGTAACGGGCATTGTTTGATAAAACATCAGCAACGATTTTTATTCATTTTCACATTGCATTAACTTGTGACAATGTTATTTTTAGTGAGATTATCTTTACCAGCCCCAATATATCGGTGTAAATTCGAGGTTGATGTCAAGAACACAACAAAAATATAAATATATGTGTATTAGATACATGTGATAATTTTATCACCTAATTGTTACAACAACATTTACGAGTTTCGTGATGTGGAAAGGCAATTTAAAAACAAAAATCCTAGACTTAATCTGTGAATAAAGACAAATCCTAATTCTTCAAATTAGATATCTATGGAAAAACCTAGTCTTCTCTTCAGGTAAATACAGTATTTCATTTACTTAGTGCTTGAAACCCAGTGTATACATTGCATATGTAATTTTTTTGCTCCCACAATCTTAGGCACAAGCGCATGTTTGTGCATCTGAGGTTTTTCAAAAAAGTTGCTTACACAATAGTGGATGTACACGTGCCCATGCACATTTCAATGTTTATCATACACAGTTTCAAAAACATTAAATAAAATATTTTATACTATATATAGGATGATGAAAATCCTTAGTATAATAATTAGTTTTCGTAATTGTGTAAAACATCAGTACTTGGGATGAAATTGTGGGGATTTTTTGGGGGGGAGTAGCCCATTTATATTGCTCACTAGTAAGACATTGGAGAATCAATTTAATTTTTATGGATTACTGTGCTATTTTATGTTTGCAGGAAATAATGTGATATTCACCCCAAGTGCAACAGAAGCAGATTCTATCCAATTGCAGCAGAATTTGGCATCGCCATCTCAGCTTCAACCCCAGGCTGTCCACTTGCCTACAATGCAAGTCCATCTCCCGTTGGATATACCAGTTCAACTAGCTATGCAGCCAACTTCAGAATCATCAGTGCAAACAGAACAGGCCTTAGAACAACCCGCAGTGCAAGTTGCAGTGCATCACCCTGTGCAGCTATCTGGGCCAGACCCACTACCATCTCAAACACAACCAATAATTCTCCCTTCCCCTCAACCCATTCCATTCCAGGTGGCACAGCCAACTAAGTCTTCCAACCCTGTTCAACAAGGCTCCCTTCATAGTACTCCTGCAACAATTGTTAATGTTTTAAATAAAGATAATTGCTCTGTGCAAACCTCTGAAGCTCAAGTGTATTATCTTGAGTCTGTTAACTGTGTGACCTCAGTCCCAGACTGACAGTTTGCTTTCTACATAGAAGATATATCTCTAGTCAGTACTCAAAAGAATCTTCTTAAAAACAAATGTGAAGGGATTCTCAAATAAAATACTTACTAGTATTGTTAATATATTTCTCAGTACATTCATTGTGCAGTATTACTAAAACTTTCTGTAGCTTGCCAAAATAACTTTTTATTTTTTTAAGAAAAATTAATAAAATTTCTTTTCTATGAATTTTCAATTTCTATAATAGTCTTACATCTACTCAATACACAAAAAATATGGCTACACATAACATATTATTGCAGCTTTAATGTTGCTTAGCAGTTCTTCCAACAAAAGCAGAATCTTCTACACTCACAACAAAGTGTCATTACATGAACTGAGCCATTGGATCTTCATCCCTCTTCTTCTTCATGTAATATGCTTCCATTTCTTCATCTGTTGGCTTCTTCACTTCAAACATGCTGTTGTATGGCCTTTTTCGATCATCTAATGCAGCCAGACGGGCACCTTCTTGTTGATTGATTTCTTCTTGATTCAGAGCCTGTAATAGACAAAATCATTCAATATTGCTAGCATGCAAATAGCATAGTAAAATCCCGCTAATCCAAGCAAAATTCAGGATGAAGGAAAAATTAACAAAAAAAGAACAACTTATTTGTAGAGTAAATTCATGATTTTATATTTACTATGGAACTGAACAACTAATAATTGAAACAAGCTGTCGAAATTGCAAGAAAAGATTAATTGTAACTACGGTGTGTATCACACATTTATGTAGCAGTAATTTTCACTTGGAAGACTTGAAAAATCGGTAATATTCATTTACCATAATGAACTGAATCTGTTTGATGTTGTGATCTCTAGGCTACGTTGCCATTTTCTAACATCTCACACTTGCATTGTGTCTGGTAATACATAATATATTTTGGTAATTGCTAATATTTGAGTATTTGTACATGTACAATATATTTTTTGGATAGTCCGATTTCCATAGACCGACAGACCATCTTCAACGTGTGTTGTATTCAGGGTACTTTTGAGTACTACTTTCTCTTTCAGTCTGATTCCAAAGCTAGCATTGTTGCATTGACGTGTGTTGCCTAACTCTGATTACATCAGTTGCCACAATGCCTGTGCATAAAGTTTCACGAACGTTATTATACGCAATCATCCGTTCAAAGAGACATGTCAACGCAACGCTTCTGTGACGCAGGCCTTACTGTGCATTCCTTTGAGTGCTTTTTTCTGTGTAATTTAGTTACATTCAAAGTTATTTATGAGTAATTAGTTCAACCCATGGGTATTTGGGTGTTATACAAGTATCCAGTAGTTTTCTCTATTACTATAGTGTTTTGCAGATTATAATGAGGAAAGTAAGTACAAATTGAGCATTTTTTTGCTTGCACATTTTCCTGTTTATGACGTTCAAAATTGTCAGTCCCTTGATAAGTGTACTAATAAGATTCCACTGTAATTATGTAAAATCCAGACCCTATTCACAACCTAGAATAATAAAAGAGTGTTTTTGTATTATTTTTCTCATAAAAACATTCTACAATGTTGGCAGTAGGTTTTATTGTTGAAAAATACATTTTTCATTTAGTGGGAGTCACTGAATCAGGAGGCCAAAAATACCAAAATTAGTTTTTTTGAAAAATAAGAAAATGCATCAATTAATAATAAAAAAAGAATAAAACATTTCTATTAAGAATTTTACTGTTTTGTTGGGTTCCTCCAAAGAGCATTTTTGGATTCTGATTTTGTTTTTGAGTATTTTATCCTTATAAGATATAAAAAATCACTCTGGTCATATGTTGTAATTGCGTATTTAAGAAGGTTGCATTTTTCTAAACAAAATTGAAAAATCACCTTTTAACACCTACGAGGGTTACTCCATCCTTTTAAAACTTTTGTTCGCAAAAACATAAAAATGCATAAGTCATGTTTCATCACCCCCTAAAAATTGCCCCCCCCCCCTTCACTTTTCAGGACGATGCAAAAAAGGAAATGTAGAAGTAAAATGTAAAATGCAGGAATGTTGAAAAACGGTAGACCAGGCAGGTACTTTCATTATTTACCGCAATTGTAGCTCTGTTTTTACTTTCTCCCTCTTCATAGGAAGAGAAAGTAAACGTGTGAACCAGAATCAGCAAATTTCGCCAGAAAATCTCTTATTGACGGGCCCTGAATGAAATAGTGGATAAATCATATTCCTGTATATAGTACATTACTTTAACGTGTGGTGTATACTGAATATCTGTTTTGTGTGTCCTTGACTCAGGTAAATTGGATTGATGGCAAAACGTCTCAGTCCATCTGTGGTTAACGGGAGCGACAAAAACATCTGCCGATTTTCTCCAAAATTATATTTTCCAATTAATATGAACAAACTTGAGGCTTTTGCGAGTTTGTTACATACTTAAGTAGTAATTTTTTTCCACATATTGGAATAATCCACTGTTCCTGTATCAGTACGAGTTTCTCTGTTGAAAAATCATGGTTTTTTTATTGCAGCATTACATAACATTCTCTGTACTAGGTATAATACGTACGTATACAAGAAAGTAAAAAAAAGACTTCATATCTTCATATCAAGTTGTGAATTGCGGGAAGAGAATGCATTGTAAATATAGGCTTTACAACGGGACCAACAAAAAATTACATAAAAAGAAGGAAAATGTAAAATGCAGGAATGTAAAAAAAAAAAAGAGAGAGAGAAGAAGAAGAAGAAGAAGAAGAAAGAGAAAAAAGGGTTTTACTGTATTCAAAATCAGAGGGAAGTCAAAGTTTTTTTTGTCAGCTCAATAATTTGACTGAAATTACAAACATTTAGATCCTTGAAGGCAGCTATGATAATGCATAGTTTCCCTTCACAACAAATGGAAATGTAGTAATGTGATCTGTGCTAAAACTGAGAGTTAAAATATAGACAAAATTTTGATTTGATTATTCACCAATTGATGGATGTACAGAAATTGGTGTTTTTTTTTTTACCGTTATGACTTAATGATAAAATTAATTAAATATTTTGTTTTCTCCATCTATGAAACAGTTTTTAAGTTTTAATTTTTGCAGTAAAAATGGTAGATTGTAATAAATTTCTTAATGATCAAGTGTATACGAGAAAAAACAAATTAAGCATTATATTGCCTCTATAATTTGCTGATCAAGTCTTTAAAATAAGGGAAAGTTATAGTTTTAAAAGCAGGTACTGCCAAAAGTACACATGCCAAACAGAAAATTAGAGTGGTTTTCCTCCTATTTTGAATTGTTATGTTTGTAATGTCTTTTGCTATACTTTACACCTAATTTTATACACCAAATTTTGAACACCATTTTTGTGTACCTAAATCCTAAGTTTTTACTTCTTTAATATTCAATGTCAGTTTTTTAATATACATCACAAAACAATCACTTACTTCCTTTAATTTTTCTTCCACAGTTTTCTCTGGTGCTAGTTTTTCTTTTCCTTTCATCAATTTTCTCTTTTCCTTTTTCAGATCTTTTTTCATTTTTTTCTGAAGTTTCTTTTTCAGCTTTCGCTCTTCTGATGCTTTTTTCTTTTCTTCTTCACTATCATCCTGTAAAGTACAAGGAAACATTATACTGAACATTCTTCCACATTTAATTTCATTAAGATGGCACCTCTGGTAAAACTTCACATTGTAAAGGTGCTTTTCTATCCTCTAAAAGGACTGAAACACTGTTCTTTAACTAATGATGAAATTCATATCAGTAAAATGACAATTCTTTTGGCAAAGGATCTCATTTGTTGACATTTTATCTCAGGAGGTTGATTCCCCCCCCATGTGAAGATCCACAAATGACCTTCCCATCTGCTTACAGTTTTCCACAACCAGGTTTCTCCCACCAGTAGGGAACAGCTCCAAGCCACGAACAATCTAAACTCCCAACATGTGTGGTAGTGTAGTGGTTGTAAATATAAGTGTAACTAAGGAATGATGAAAGGACAAGGAAGAAGAATGAAAGATTGTTTTTTGGGGAGGTACTGCCCTGGTATTTGGCTGGTGTTGTTCGGAGAACCCATGAAAAACGACTAGCTACTAAAATTCTCCTCCAAACAGAGTACAATCTATCTGTATAGACAGTGTCAAAATTCCTGCCACCTTTGGGACTCACACCCTAGGACCTACTGCTCAGAGTCTCTACATAGACATCAATTGATACCCTAAGCCACTAGTGATTCCATTTGTTGACAATTTGTAAATAATTCAGTGTTTGAAAGAACTTTTACAAAATAAAATTGCTTTTCATAAATCCATTCAAGACATCAAATTTTATGCATTTACCTCACCTTGAAAAAACAAACTTTACCACCCAATAGAAAATTTCAAAATAATGGCAATTAGACATATGAAGTCATCCCTACATAACGTAACGCCAAAAATGGGGGGAGGTGGTTGATGGCAGCGTTACACTGCATTAAATAGAGATAGGAGGCCTTAGCTCAATGTTAGGTAAAACTAATTTTTTTAACATTTGCTGAAATAATTACTTTTAGTCTTATACTAGACATTAAAATATTAACTAATTATTTCTTGGAATATGAAATAAAGTGATCGCATGAAAATTACTACAATAAATGGAAATATTTCTCTTTCATTTTTGATTCAATCTATAAAATTGTTTAGTAGATATTGAAAATGTATCTATATTCAATTAAATTAGAGTAGTAGACTCTCCCCATGTGACATCCACAAGGGCGAGTGAATGGCTTTGTTGTCAAACATTTTCCTGACAATACATTCTTCCTTCATCTAAAGATTGTCCCCAATCACATTATTAAGTGTAGACAACTACATTTCTTCTTACTTCTTGAAAATGGGGGAAGAGGAGTGTCACAAGCGTTATGTAATTATTTCGGGGGAGCTTAAGCATGCATGATTGATGAGTGCGAGTGTGTTCCGGTGTGTGTGTGTGTGTGTGTGTGTGTGTGTGGGGGGGGGGCTATTCAAAATACAAAACTTACTTACCTCTGTAGATGACTCTGAAGATGATGAAGATGACCCCTCAGATTTTGTTAACTCCTTCTCCTTACCTTCCCCTGATGTTGAAGGTTTGTCCACTGTATCATTATCTGCAGATGAAGCTTTGCCAGCTTCACCAGTGCAATAAGAATTCTACCAATACAAATTACATTTACTTCATTAGATCTACAAAATTTAACTCCAATTATATCATAAAATACATGGCGTGTATATGTATATATGATATTAGATATATAGATAAAAATATATGTATGTATGTACAATGTATAGATATAGATATACCTTAATGAAAGAATAACAGCATTTGTATCCCCATTTCCCATTTCTCCAGAAAGAACCCCAGATTGATGTATGGTTGTTAGGGAACACATCTTCTTCGTATTTAGATCGTACAACTTGTTTCTCTTGACCCTATTCAGTAAAATACAATATACACAACTTTAGACACACACACACACTTAATAGAATAAAATCAATAAAAAGAAAAATGGAAGATACTAACTTCTGACCTGATTGCTACTTCTCAATTATATGAACTAACTTAGTACCTTAATGACTTTGCCATAGCGTGAATACTCCACATAATCTTCTGTCTGGGCAAGCAACAAAGATTTTGGAGGTGCCTGCAGGTGTTCTTCTCCTCCATACTTCTTTAATATACTGTCTTGTACTTGACTTTTAAACTGATCTTTTTTCTTGTCATATTCCTTCTGCAACATTTCTAATTTTGTTGGTTCTGCTAAAAGGTGAACATCAACACCTTTCTCATAAGCTTCCCAAGCAAACAGTTGAGCCACAGAATGCTTCTGAGTATCACCAGTGAATCGGACAAAATTTTCACCAGCATAATCAGTACTGCAAATTAGAGATAAAATTATAAAAACAACTATTCTATTCAGAATCTGTAATCACAGTGTGACAAGAAAAATAAGGGATCAGCACCAAGATAGCTGATTTATTCCAAGAACATGCAATTTTCTGAATATTCTCTAAATTAAAATTAATTTATCTAAAATACACCTATTTTTTAACACAGGTTTAATGCATACTAACTCTTCTGAAGTAGCATTGTTGGGATTGTCTCGCATGGAACGTGTCTTTGGATCATAATAAGCAGAATTGGGGTCCAGATTTCGCAAATATTTGGCTGTATCTTCTCGAATACGCAAGTTTCGCACGGTAATTCTCTGCTTGCTGTCAACTTTGGTTCCAGGCATGTCTACTTCATCCACATATTTGTCTTCATCATCTTCAGCAACATCTCCAACCTATGTCAAACATTTTCATTTAATTATAATCCAAAATATAAAAGATATTGTCAAATGAAAGTATTTTTTAGTGCACCGGGAAAGAGTAGGAGTGTGGTGTGAGTGCACCAGTGGCTTGCTTACTCGACACCCCAAATTTTTTCAGTTGTTCTTTATGGTTATGATCTCCTTACCTTACCCTGAAGAAAATCCTAGTTTCCCCCAACACCTTCCCAGTCAGCAACCCCTCTAATAATGTAACTTACTTACATTAAAAATTTCAAAAACTTACTTCTACATCTTCTCCAGCTTCAATACTTTTGCTCAACTTTTCAGCTCGAAGTTGCCTCTTTGCTTCTTCTATTTTTTGATATTCTTCCACAATTGCTTTATGTTGAGAAGGATCATAACCACTCCATCTGTCTCTCTTACCATCATAGTCCAAGGCAAGTTCTGGTTGCATGAATTCATCTGGTGCAATATTAGCATCTGCGGGTTCAGAATACAATATTATTGATAATTGGCTCCAGTCCATTGAATATTCCCTTACCTACCCTACAACCCCTTACCAAGCAATCCCCCCCCCCTTTTAATAACATTTATAGTGTCATGATACAAATGCAAAAAAATAAATTAAAACATCCGTAAGGCGAAATTAATTACCAAAATAAAGGTCAAAGAACTACGAGTATGTTAAAGAAGAGACTTAGAGACGTACAAACAGAGAAGAGAGACGTAGCAATGGAAACAGGGCCTTGCCGGTTCAACCACTCAATCCAGTACATATGAGGTATGATTGTTACATAACCCTGCCAATTAAAGATTTAACTTCTGCTCTTATTCTCAACAGAAGGTGCTGTGCTTTAGTGGAAGGAAAGGGCAGTTTTTAACACAGTCTTTTTGAATTATCAACAAAACAATAAGTCAATAAATTATACTGTTGACATATGAATAGCTGACTTTAATTCAAGAACAGAATCAGTAAATGTAAAGCTAAAAATAGAGTAGCACAAGGTAGAGAGTTTAAGCTAAAAATAGAGTAGCACAAGGTAGAGAGTTTATTATCAAAATGTTAAAGATCTGACAACGAAATAGAAGAAAAGCTAATTTATTTTATTTCTTATACTGCATTGAGAAACATGGCTTCACCTGAACATTTTTTATTCCCAATAAAAATTAGACAAATTTAACGGACCCATTTAGAAATTTTCATTATTAACCAGTACCATTAGTAGGGTGGCATGTTTATCATAATAATAAAGAAATAGAGAATTCAATTAGAATCGATCAGGATGTTATACATCACCTAATCCACGTGTTGAATAATCAAATCAATGTAAGTGCTGTTTACTATCCTCACAAGATTAGTGGTAATTTTTTATCCTGTTAATCTATTTACAAAATAATTTATATGATTTATCTTAGTATAAAAGTTATTTGAGAGTCAATTTTAATTTACCAAATATCACATGGTATGATATCCCAGCTTTGCCAAATTTAACAATGATATTTTATGTTTATGGTAGGAAATTTCTTTCAAATTGCATCTATTTCAGATGAAAGTTCGAAATTTGGAAATCATAAACCTCTGTCCCAGAAATGATGCAGACTTAAGAGGTTGGCAAGATGACATGTCAAGAAATTCAGCTTAGAAAAAGGAAATACTATCGTCATTATTTCTAACTTTTTGGAATTACTATATTATTTCTGCAAAATATAAATGATCGCCTAGGACAATGCATTACTTTCTGATACTTTTAGAGGTAACTCAAGAGTCAAATCATTTGCTAACATTTTAAAGCACTGAATCCATCAGTCAACCAAGCAAACACTTCACTCTGCTCAAAGTCTACATAATATTCTCTTCTCTAGGAGATAGCAGGAAATGAAAAACTCCACAAAATGAACTTGATGTATCCAAAAGTACAGGTCTTAATGGAATTCCTTTTTTCATTACAATTATACTTAGGCAAGGTAAATACAGACATTTTTATTTTCTTGTATATGTATGTTTATACAGAACAATAAATTAAAGTTATGTAATGCTGTGGAAAACTGATTTTGTTGTTTCATAAGAAATACGTTTTGGGGTTTCATCAGAAATACATTTTTTTTACCTTCAATCTTCCTTCAATGCTGATGGTAGCAATATTTTCTTCAAATCAAATATGTTCTTTGCATTTAATTGTTTCATTAACATCATGTGAGGCTAAGGGTTTAGGAATAGGTAGCACCTTTCACCATAAGGGATTAGTTCTATTGGACACTGCTCCTCACCAATCCCAGGGGCAAGTGAAGCGTAAAATAGATGCTAGGCTTCAAATAGCCTCTCCTTGCTGATGATTGTCCATGCGAGGTGAAGAGCCACATCCTGTCTGAAGTAGCCCTGCTTTGACAAAACACAGTGGATCTAGAGGAGCCAACATCGAAAAAAAATTCCCCTTCTCCAAGGTATGAGCAACTGTGCTCAGGGACTGCATCCAAACGATGAGACAGAGGATAAGAAGTCGTAAACGTGTTTGCAGAAATTAGCGAACTCTGATTGACATTCTGCCTTACTTCAGCAAGCAGGGCACTGCTGGGGGAGACCAAATATATCCCTAGATACTCTTGGGACCACCCATGGAAACAAACTCAAGCAAAAAAAGGCCAACAAAGGAAGGGAGGAAGGAGAATGTCGTGAATTTCAGAAGAACGTGTGTATCCAAGAAAATCAATTACAAAGAAAAGTTATTATGGACTGTATGGGAACAATGTAATACTGAAAATAAAGAACTCAGAACTATCGTAACTGATCTTCACACAAAAGTAAACCTTTTAACAATGAAAGAAACTCAACATACACAAAATAAAGACAAAGAATTACATGAAAGTACCAGAGCAGGATTATCCATAGAAAGATAAGAGTCTAGAGAACACTGATGAGGGAGAAAAATTGGTAGTCAGAGAGACAAACTGTTTTATCAAAATATTACAAAAGAAAAGCTTCAAGTTTAACAGAAAAAACTTACCCTTGGAGGGAAAAAGGGTTGTTCAGAAACTCGAGCAAAAAAAAGACAAAACCACCACCAATAATACTGAGCAGTGTGTAAGACTACAATAAAATCCTTCAGAATATGAAGACTAAAAATCTTAAACCGAAAAAGCTGTTATGCTGAACAATCAACAAATTAAGTTCTACGTGGAATCAGGATCAGAATATAGAGAACTGACTGAATATTTAAATAAAATGGAAATGGAATGTCATACCTATGAGAACAAACAAAACAAGCCAATAAGAGTCATGGTAAAGGGCTGCATCCTACAAGCAGAGAGACAGAAATCAAAGAGAAATTAAAACTTAACAACTTTAAAGATCATTAGTGTAGTAAATATAATTTTTAAAAAAAGCTAAGGTGAATGGTGAGGTTAACACTGTTACTTTACCCTTGTTCATGTTAAAATTTGAAAATTCAGAAAATATCAAAAGAATTTTTAAAATAGATTCCTCATGTCACATGAAGGACAGAATTGAAGCTTGAAGAACAAGCAACCTCATACCACCATGCAAGAAGTGTCAGAGGTTTGAACACACCCAAAAATTCTGCCTGCGTAAAATGTGCGGGCACTCATAAAACCATTGATTGCAAAAAGAAAAAGAGCAATCCTCCTCTGCAAATAAATTGGAATAATGATCACCCCGTGAACTATCGAGAATACATAGTTGCTAAAAAAAACTGCAGAAAAGAAATAATATAATTAACAACAAATCGTCCCAAGTAATGAATAACATACATTCACATGTCTTCACTTCTAAAACAATTATTGAAAGTAGAACTTTTGCACAAAATTCCAAAAAAGGTGATGTACAACAATCAGATAGAAATAAAGGTACTCACCTAACACAACCTGAACAAATTACCATGATGGACATGCTTCAAAATATAATGTGCATGATGGATAAAATATCACCAAGACTTAATAAGCTGGAAGGCAATAACCTTGGCACAATATCACATGGGAGTAAAAGATGAAACAGAAGGACATAAGAATTGCATCATGGAATGCAAACGGCTTACAAAACAAAAAACAAACAAAAAAACACATCACAAAATATTGATATTTGTACGATCTCTGAAACCCATTCTACAGAACAGACCTATTTTAAACTAAACGGATAAAGTGTATATCATACAGCACAGTTTATTCTAATAAACTCAATTGATCATTATGAAGAGTGTCATTTAAAATTAGCAGAATACCAATTAACAGTAGTAACAATAAAACGTGTGAAGCAACATCTGAATATTGGAATATTGGTGCGATCTACTGCCCTCTAAGGCACAATATTAAGAGAATGGAATACAAACAATTCCTAGAACACATGGGGGAGAGATTTATAGTTAGAGTTATAGGGAGACTATAACGCCAAACATATGGATTGGGAATCTAGGCTGACTACCAAGAAATGCATTGAACTGAGGGAAGCAATGCAAGAGAGTAGATGCACTTTTCATTCTACAAGCAAACCTAAGCATTGGCCTTCTAACCAGAGAATAAAACACCTGATCTTTACACTTCTTTTCATTGAGGGCAGTGTCCCCAAAATTTATTGAAGAAAATTTTGATCTGAGCTCTGATCACTCCGCTATGATTCTCACATTAAGTGAGAGAGTAATTAAGAAAAGTGGACACCAGTATTAATAAACAAGACAACTGACTGGGAGAGCTTCACAATGAAATGGGAATGTAATATTAATCTTGGAACTGAGATAAAGTCTATACAACAGTTGGTAATGGAAGTTGAGAGATTTCCCTCTACAATCTCAGAAGCGGCGCGGAATAACACAAATTGCCTTGAGGTCTCAAGGAAACAACTACCCTATGGAAATCAGAGAGTTAGTTTAAAAAAGAAAGACGTGCTAGAAGGAGATGGCAAAGGGCATCCACATGATAAAATGATACTTAATATCAAAACTCAAATTCTTAAGAGAGCAACTCAAAAATTGAAAGATGTTTCAGTAACTTCCTATATGGAAAATTTGGCCATCTGACTATTTGCTATGGAAAGCAACCAAAAGGCTTAAAAGGATAATCACCCAAATTCCACCCATATGAAAAATAAATTGTTCCTGGGCAAGCAAACGGAAGGCAGACACCTCAAAATACCTTTTAGAGGTCCTTCAGCCGAATGATATACATTCTGATGAGGACACTGAAGAACATACAAATAGTGAATTTAAAGAAATCCTATTCCTTACAAAATAATAATTAGTTAATGAGATAAGAGCAAATATTAATGCCAAAAAGGCTCCGGATTTTGATCTTATCACGGGTGAAATTCTGAAATAGTTACCACATAAGCAGATAGTAGTGCTAATGTATTTAATCAATGCAGTCTTTAGACTAAAACATGTTCCTAGGAAGGTGCTGAAATCATGATCCCCAAACCAGGAAAATTGCCCAATGAAGTTACATCTTATAGGCCAATATCCTGGCTGCCAATTCTTTCCAAAGTCTTCGAGAAGTTGCTGTTAAAAAGGTTAAAACCAATAATACAAAGAAAAAATTGATCTCCAATCATCAGTTCAGTTTCAAACAGAAACATTCTACAATAGACCTAGTCTACAGAATCATCAATACAATAGAGAAAACATTAGACAAAAAACTGGTCTGTTCAGCAATCTTCCTTGATGTGGCCCAGGTGTTTGATAAGGACATCAGGCATCAGGGGTTGATTTTTAAACTAAAACAGCAATTATCTGTACAGTATGTAACACTGTTAAAATCCTACATATCTGAGGGACTCTTTTGGGTCAGAGTGTAAGAAGAATACTCAGAGCTAAAAAAAGATAAGAACAGGCATTCTGCAGGGAAGCATTCTGGGGCCTGTTCTCTACTTATTGTACACATGTGATATCCCAAAAAATGAAAACATAATTGTGGCGACCTTTACTGATACAGAACTAATGGCTACGCATTCAGATGCACAGGAGACCAAGGACATACTACCAAATGCTTGTAATCAAAGACACTCTTGGACAAGTAATTGAAATATCAAATTAAAGGAGTCAAAATCTGTCCACATCAACTTTACAACCAAGAGAATCGTAAGCACCCCATCTCTCATGTTAAATGGCCTTTAAGTATCTTACGCAAACACTGCTAAATACTTAGGTATGACATTAGATACTAAACTGCGGTGGAAGGAACATGTGAAAAAGAAAAAGAATGAATTAAGTATTAAATATAGACAGTTCTCAACTGTCTATACAAAACAAAATTTTCATCTACAACCAAATCCTAAAACCGATTTGGCTTTATGGTGTTTAGCTGTGGGATTGCACTAAAGAAAGAATTTAAAACAATACAGACCTTTCAGTCCAAAGTGCTGCAAAACACAGTAAATGCTCTGTGGTACAATAGAACTAGGGAACTACATTGTGATCTGAGAATTCCCTATGTGTCAAGTTAAATTAGGAGATTCGCTACCAAACATGGAATATGTTTACAAGGACATGTTAACTTAGAAGCCATTCAACATTTAAATAACCATAACCAGCTGAGAAGGTTAAAGAGGACCAAGCCTTTTGAATTAGTTTAATAGTCTTAACAAATGTAATTTGATATTGTAAATAAAACTACACTATTGAGTTAACAGGTAAATAATATTTTAACTTAGATTTAAGAATATATGTAAATTGATGATTGGTCAATTGTGACCAGTTTCAATTTTTGGAGCCTTGGCATTAAAAAATGTCATATACATTTTTTTACATGTCATATACATTTTTTTAGTTGTTTTTCTACAATTTAATTATTTGTACATACAATAACTCAATTTACAATACAGAATAATTAAGATCTTACAAAAGTTTTGCCTTCACTTGTCATTTATATCCATTTAAAGAATCTGATATCATTTGTACACATTATTTCATTTGTGAGTACTTTAAATGAAGTATGAAGTTTCTCAAAAACTCAGAAGCTTTTTGTGAAAATGTGTTCCAAATTGAGCGTTCTCAAACACAGCTCGCATGTTTTTCTTTAAATTGTTTCTTTAGAGAGTGCTAAATCCACAGACACCAACAACGTTGTACTGTATTTATTTGTTGTTTTTTCAAAAATTACACAAATCAATTTTTTGTACATTGTTAGTATTTACATTATTCATTTCCTATCCATTAACGCATTAGTGTGTAAAATTCCTTCAAATAATTTCTTACAAAGTTTCTTAAAAACAAAAAGTTTTGGGTGAAAATAAGCTTCAAAATGTGCATTTTCAAAAATGCTCAAACAAAATTTTCTCAGAAACAACTCCAGATGTTTCAATGAAAATTTGCTGCTAAGACCTGGTTTTATTCTTCAATATTCTTAAATTCATACTTCAACTTTATCATTAAAAGGTATCCCTGTGCAATTGCACACACACCAAGTTCTGGTTCACAGGGGAAGTGAAGGTAGGGCTCCACCTATTCATCGCCATTGGAACAAGGCGGAGATAGTGTGGCAAGCACAACACTCGAGCCGCCTTTACCCGGTCCTGGAACTCACTTGGAAAGGAGGCTGAGTCTACCTTAGAGCTGCCCTGAATGGAAATTACTAGATAAAAATCCCAACCTACACCAAGATTCGAACCTGGGTTCTTTAGAGGTCGGGAAGCCAGTGTACTACCACTCAGCAAACGCAGATCCTTCAATTTTATCGTTAGGGGACAAAAAAAATGAAAAAGAATTCCCTTTAGGCGTCAATAGATGTCAGATGAGAAGCAGTGGAGACAAAACCGAAAACATAGTCCAGATTAAAGAGTTAAAGAAACTAACTAGTATGAGGAAGTGTGTCATTCTGTAGCACCACTGTCATATATGCTTCAGGAAAACACCTTGCTACTTCTGCTAAATGCAATTACTTTCATCTTATTTTGTCACATTTGCAATTAAAACAACTAAAAATTATTCTTCAATCAATACTGATCATAATAAACGTTCCTCTCTTTTACACATTACAGTACAACGCAGCAGAGAAGTTGAAAATTCTAGTTCAGGTTTGTCCAATTCACAGCCCATGGTGGCATTTATTGCCTGCGAAAGATTTTAGTAGTCAAAAGTTCTTTGTATCCCTGTTGGGCAAGAATATTGTCCACATAACACACACGCCCTGCTAGGGTCAACACCCCCTTTAATGTTAAAATAAGTAAAGTTTAGGTTCAAGGACTTTATTTAAGTAAATTCAGAAATTCAAAATCATCCCAATGTGTCTCACTGTGTTAAGCATAATCCCCACACCTCCAACCCTTTTTCAGAGCAGCCGGACAAAGTGCCAAGATGGGGAAGTCAGGTGTGGATCATTCGAGTAATGAAAATATGGTCCACAACTATATTTAAGTTTTTAATTGCTGCCCTTGAGGGCTTGCAAGTATGACACCCCTGTTCTAGCTCATTCAGTAATGAGTCAAGAAAGAATACTGACAAAGATTGCATTTGTACATGGCAAGGAATGTACCAAAATTGCTTAAAAATTACTATCACTTGAAAGTGACAAAACCTAAGTTCACAAATCACTTTTTTTATGAAGAACTATTGAACACTCAATAGCATTTAATTTTGGTTATCCACTTGAACAACAGTGCCCTCTAACCAGGAGGTATTAAGAGTCATGACATTTGTTAGATAGGAAGGTCACATTAAGGTGATGTCTTGTCTGTCACTGTCCCTTTAAGGAGAAATTAGCGTCTGGATGCTCTGGTTAGTAGCTTTCCATGGTTTCTTTGATCAACTCCAGGCGAGTGCCAGAGTAGTACCCTTACAAATGGGTCACGGCCTGCACATGATTATTCCTTTCTCTTCCTTATCCTATCCTTTCACGTATTTACACTTACATGCACTTCACTATCAGACATGAAGGGAGCTTAGAGCTTGACCTGGCAGGGGCAGTGGTGGCAGATATCTGATTGGGGAAATCCCAGCTAGTTGACATGTAAGTTGATGCCACATCACATCATCCAGTGAGGGAAGATCACTGCCATCTCCCGAGGGAAAACATGCACTGCAGGTACAGGACTAATGACATTAGTTGACGCAACCAGAAACAAAAAATAATCCCTGATGGAATTATTATTATAGTTCATTGGGGTGATAGCTGTAAAAAGAACCATCAACCTTCAAAACTACTAAATTACAACACCTCTCTGCTTTAGAAGTAGCCACAGTTAAAGTTGATAAAATACTTTTGCAATATAACGAAATCATTTTGTAAAATTGGACCTTTCAAAACAATGTGTCCTGAAATGTAATGTATACAAAAACTTACTTGTAAATTTTGCTCCAACTTTCCGAGGCCTCTCCATACAATCTTTCCTTTTGTGTGTCATAGCACCACAATTTTCACATGCTCCTTTTCTAAATTTTATTGCCACCTTTGTCTGGAAAATGCATTTCCTCGCTTTTATTAACTGTTTATTTCATTTAAATTATACACTTATCCTTACAATTATCTTACCAAAAATTATATCTCACCGTATCTACTCCTCTTTTATACCATTCATCAAGCCTAGAAAATTGTTTCTGTTTCTCTGGTTGAGGCCTCTGATGTTTTAATGTTGGTCCTTTTGATCCAAAGTACCATGGTGCAGATGAAATGTACTGGGGTATGTGAGGATTTATATCTTTTCCTTCTTCATCAACAGCAGCTGGTGCAGTACCAGCCTAGAAAAAAAAATTGTCTTTTATGTGTTAGAATTCCTTTTTAGGCTGAAGTGTAGTATATGGTACAACCTAAAGAAGTTGTTTAAACCAGCACTTAGCGCCGCTCCGGCAAAGGTGAAATCCACAGTAGAGGGGATGAGGGGTGTTTAGGGGATTACGAGGGGAATCTTTCAGTGGGGAGGAGTGGTGAGCAATATGCGTAACTTAGTATGTATGTGTAAAAAGGGAAGCTTGGGCGATTTAAATACATTGTAAAAAAATACACTTCTAATATAATTTTATTAGTTTGTAATTGGTCACAAATGTGATGTCAAAAGTGAGGGGTGGGGGAAATTTCACCATAATATCTTGTCAAAACTTCATTACGAAATGGTGTGTGGTGGTTCGTAAATAGTGTTTTTGTCTACGTGATTTTCTGTTAGGTCTACGTGACAAAGTGGTTGGCTACATTGCTGTCATACATGTAAGTTTCTTCAGATTCTTTGTGATTTGTGTTTTTGTGTCGGGAGTCTGCTACGATGGTGAGAATAAATATTTTGTTTGTTTTTTGTGTGTTGTGCCAAAGGTGTTTGGCTATGATTGACTGGGTGCAAGAACGTAGTTTGATTGCTGCAGGATTTAAGTGTGCTGAATGTAAGTGACCTATAAGGTTGGCCAAGCGAAAAAAGTTGTGTGATGGTATTGAGTGGAAGGGTGGCAAGAAAAGGGCCACTCCTCATGTACATAAGTGTTCCGTGCGGAAGAGGCCATGGTTTGCAGGAAGCAAGTTGTGTACAATTCAGGTATTAGTAATGACCTATTTTTGGGTTATAAAACCCAAACCGCCATAAAAATAACCTATTGATAAGTTTCATACATTTCTGTCAGAGCGCTTAGCGCATTTAGAGGGAGGGCTAGAGAAGACCCCCCTCCCTTTTCATCCCTCCTCGCTGCCGCGCTTCTCTAAGGGTGTACCGTGTACCCTACTTTAACCCCTTTTTATATTCTGTTTCTTGAGAGATTGGCAGCACTCAGTGCTCAGATACTTTGGAATATATGTTAAAAAATTAATTACCTTTCGTGCTTCTTCAAGTTCTTTTGCTTTCCTCCAATCCTCACGAGATTTCTTTTTTGGCTCATCGTCATCGAGAGCACTTTTGCTCCGAATTATTTCAGATACTGGCACATTCTGAGCACCAGCCATTATGAAGTAATAAGAATATCAGTAAGTATCTGCAACGTGTAAAAATAATTTAATAAAGTTTAAGTCAGGCATGCAAATTTATTTTCCTTAAAATCTACAAGAGTGGTACAGGTGGCCTGATGGTGCAAACGCTCCATTCAAAAATGTGAATAATATTCTTACGAACATCTTAATGAATTTAAATCACAGAAAAACAGTAGCAATTTATACTGGTGCTTATTCTAGCCTATTCCTCTCAGCACATTCCATAAATTATTACCTAGTACACAAGACATGTGTTAGTGACTTATCAGGTTCAGCTGTAATTTATTAAATCAAGGGTTTGCAACATCCGTTTTCTTACCTCTAGTAAACCACAGCTGTCAATGGATGTTTGAATGGGCCAGGATATACTTTAGAAATATCTTCTAGGAATCTATCAAACTTTTCACCAGTACTTAGAAATTCAATAGGATGAAAATATAGATATTGAAAAAGTAAAAAATCTCGACTGTGTGATTCTTCACTTTGAGAATCAATAAATCTTTTTGCTGTACGCCACATACACTTAACTTTTTGAGTCTTTCCATCAGGTGTATCTAATTCTACATATTCAACAACAAAATCAAGCAGTTCCTTTTGAAATTCTTCTGTGCTAAGTCTGTTGTACGATTCCCAAGTATTTGTAATTATTTTGGAACCCTCTAATACAAATGTTCTCAGAAGAGGGACAATTGTTTGAGCATCATGCTTTTGAATTTCAATTAAGAAACATTCATTTGTTTTTTGATCAACGCCTTCAAGAAAGAAAACCCTTCTCCTCTGAGTTGCAATAACTCTATCAACTTGAAATTCGTTGATCACAACAACGTGTCCTGGTCCCCCAATTGGTTTAGTTCGATTACTGACTATCACAAAACAAACTTCTCTGCAAAACTGATAATAGTCCATAACAGTTGTCTTACTCAACTTGAGCTGTTCAGCAGCTTCAGCAATGCTATCCCCTCTAATCCAGAAGTAAATGAGCATAAAATGTTGCCGAACACTCAAATGAGATCCAAAAAACCATGTGTTTTTTGTAACAGACCACTTTTTACGGCACCGTTTTCTTGAACATCTTAAAGAAAAAGGCACTTTAAGCTTTTCATTGGAGCGTTTATACCATCCAACATGTCCAACTGTACATTTTGGACATATTGTTCTTTTTTCTGGAAGTAAATTTCTTTGCACAGCAAATTCAATCGCCGCAGTTTCATTTTCAATTGCAAGATCAAGTTCTTCAAACTGCATTACAGTTATAATGATGTTCACTGGTGTGATAATCAATGCATCTCACTACATCATTGCAAGGAAATTACTAAAATCAGCACAAATGCCAATTTAATTTTCCAATACACATATCCCCGAAGTTTAAATTACCTCAATTAGTTTCACATAATAAATTCACTTGTTGGTCCTACATTCGCGTTACGTTTTCCTTCTCCTCTACAAGAATAATATTTATGCCAACAACATGAAGGCCCACAAACTTTAAAGTCCTGATTACATCGTCACAAACATGGCAATATGGCGTAAAAGCGTCAAAAGTGGAAACAGAGAGAGAAGGAAATAATTTTCTATCCTGTACAATATTCCTTGATATCTTCTGTCCGTCACGGTCGCAGGGATTCAGTGAATACCCCACGTAAAAAAAAACATATTCTCTCTGGAACAATTAATTAACTATTTCTCATTCACCGTCTTTCAGCAATTTAAAAGTATGTATCAGGTATGTATTGAGAGCCTGATGTGAGCTGAATGCGTAGGTAATACGTTTCGTTCGTAATGTCCGTATTGACACACTAAGCATTCCATGAACATTCGCTGATCAGAGCATGATTAGTGGCTTTTCATATAAATGTATCTGATTCAAATGGTAATGATGTGGTGGGTCAGACTGTTCATGTCATGCTTGCTCATTTGTGTTGCACCCCATTTTAATACTCTGATTGCTCCTTTTATCTCTACATAGGACAAAACTGAAATACTGTATTAGTTGATATAAATGTTGACGCTTGTTAGAAAGTGTCAAAAAGACAGAAAATGACACAAGATTAATTTTAAGTGTCAAGAAATCTTAATAATGAAGATGTACTCACGGGTTCTCAAAGTGGTACTGATTTTGCTGATTGGTAAGTTTCATTCGCGAAATGTGTTATCATTTTTATTAGATTATTGTATGTATTATTTTAACGTTCACTATTAGTAAGATGACAAATCGCTTCCTTTATGGAGGACAGAACTTCTCGAAATGTGCCCTCCTTTTCAATATTTAAAAAAAAATGTTAATCTCTGTATTCAGAGATGCCACAGCGAAATGTTACACATCTTGTGACGGTACAGTTCGGAAAGATGCGCTGAGTTTTGCTAGATCGGCGGAATTCTCGCCGTTTTCAATAGTTTCATCTTCAGTACTTAAGATTTTTGGACAAGAGAGAAATCAATATTTAATGTTGATACTTTAACTGCAGCACCTTCCGTAAAATTCAAGATGAAGGATATTTCTTGTTGTGAAATTAACAATATATTATTAGAAAATGATATGACAAAAAATATTCATTAAAGAAATGCTTGTTTAATGAAATGGGACGTAAGCAAAATGAGTGTATTTTTGTTTGAATTAATAAAATGTTTAATTTATTTACATTGAACTTTTCTCTTAAATTTTTTGCCCTTTTCATTGTGAAAAAAATAGTCACATTATTACTGGTATTTGCCCTAATTTTGAATTGTTTTGAAATTGGTTGAGTATATTAATTTGTGTGTGTTTCAAGCGCTGTTCAATGAGGGGTTATCTTCAGAAGACATAATTTCTAGTATAGTTCCTACTGATAACCCTTTCGGTTATGGTATTTCTGGTGTTGAAAACAAATCACCATCTTCTAATAATATTCTTGTGTCAGGAGATGCAAAAGATTTGAATTCTAAGGATGACAGAGAACTGGTAAATACCTGTGATTGTTTTGTACCCATGTATAATTTCAATGTTTCTGTATTAATAGTTTTTTGTTTTTTCAGTCAATTGAAGATAATGATCAAACTTTGGAAGGTGAAGTAGTTTCTGCAACTGATCACTTGGAGGAAACCTTTGGCACTGAAGATTCATTGAACAATTCGTCAATTAATTCTAGTAATAGTACAGACATTGCTGAAGAAAAGGGAAATATAACAAGTATAGTTGCTTGCAATACTGAGAAAGAAAATGGAGGACAACCTGTTGAGGTGTGTTGATATTGCGCACTCATTTTCATTCACATTCCAGGAGGAAAACGTGACTTACCCAAAATTCAAATCAACTAATACATTTTCTGAAATCGATAATAAGTAAATTTTAGCCCAATATTCAATAAGTAATTGTTTCAAAACATCCCAATATAATGTTTTGTCATTAAAGAAGAAGATTGAAGTCTAGTATACAGTACAACTTATGGAAGTCTTTTAAACCGTCACTTCACGCTGCTTCGGTGGTAACTGTGTGGTTTGAATTCTGGAAAAGTGCTTATAAAATGTGAATTAGTAATTATGTTGTGGATAGGCTCAAGGATGTTTATACAATAAGAGGGCCAAAGGCCCGAGCCTCACTGCGACTTGGATCTGGGCGAGCGAAGGAAGAAAACTTGCCATTGAAAGTAAATTGACATTACAATGCAGCAGGGACAAAGTGTATGAAGGGCGAACCATGAAAATCGCATATCTGTAAGTTTTAGGGTTTACCGTGTACCGTACTTTAACCAAGAAGAAAATAATTTGTTATTTAATGAACAGATGACATGAAAATTAACAAACCAAAATTATTTAATATTGTACATACAAGAATATGTATTTCATTTTTTCCCCTTCCAAAATTAATTTGGGATGTGTAGATATTCCACTTAATGTGGTGCATTGTTTGTTACAAAATGTTTGCCAACTTCCCACGTTTATGCGTTCTTGACAAGTGCATGTGCTTTTCTGACAACTTCGTTTCATTTCAAGTTTGGCACTTATAGCTGCCTAATATTCTTAGAGTTTTGTGTACCAGATTTTATCTCTGAAAACTTGACGTGGCTTCACAAGAAGAAACAAAAGACATTGAACACCATTGCTTCTAGCTGACAGGTTCATTTAGTTGCCTTGCCCGAGTGTGTTCAACCAAAGTGACAATTATACAAAAGCATTTGTAAATAAAGGGTACAATTGTTTTACATTTTTCGGAAGCTCTAACAAAGATTGGACCATAATTTTTTTGTTGATTGCCTTTGCATTCTATAAAATGTTGGCATTATATTAAATACAAAATTTAAATTAGATACATGCTACTAGTGTGGATGATTACTATATACAGGGAAATAACTTGTGACTTCAAAATATATTCTTTTGAGTTGAAGTACTAGAGCAGCATGAGAAAGTGAAGTGGAATCATTCTGGACTTCAGAAACTTTATTTGTATGACTGGTTAAAGTAATATTTACTATTACAATCCTTTTTAAATTTTGTATATCATCATCATGAACTGGCCAGAAATTAGGGTTTATAACCCGATTCTATTGGTTTATTACAGTATTCTTGGTAGATTCACTGTCTTCCTAGTGTTCCTGCTGTTGCCTAGTCTTAGTGGTCTCCCTCTATCTCCGATCCCTATTGGTTCGTACTTTCTGGTTAATTTTGGAAATCTGTTGTTCGTTCTCTGTAAATGATCTTTCCTTTCCTTCGTGACTGTTCTATCTCTCCTACTAAACATTTGGTTTTCAATATCTTTATCTCAATGTCTTTATTTCTTAATTTGCCTCTTCTTGTGATTTCCATGAGGTGTCTTAGAAATCTCACACGTGCCACCAGTAATTTTTGTCTTTCATTGCCCTTGTTTCAGAGCCATACATGATTCTAGGTTTAGCAGCAATATTGTGGATTTTTTTATCTGGGTCCATGTCTCTGCCAAAGTGTCTCTTGATTGTTCCACATATTCTATTATAGTTATTAAGTTTGTTTTCTATGTCTTCGGTTGTTTATGTCTATGTCTATGTTTGCTTTTGGTTGTCAATGTCTATGTTTGCTTTCTATGTCTTGAGTTGTATACACTTATGATATTCAAGGTATGAACATTTATTTACTTGTTCCACTAATATTCCATTTATTACTATTTTGGCTCTTCTTTGTTCCTTGCCTTGTATTGCCATAACTTTTATTTTCTGAATTACTATCTTCACGGAATTTTCTTGGGTAACTTTTGTCAATTCAAACACTGATCTTTGTAAATTACCTTTAGAATCCATTACAATAGTTTGGTCATCAGCATATAGAACTGTATCTATCTATCTTGTCTTTTGTGATCTGTATTCCTTGTATAACTTTCTTTCTCCAGTTCCTCACTAAGTGGTTAATATATATATTGAAGAGGATGGTGATAATTCACATCTTTGCCTTAAGCCACTGTTGGTTGTTATTGCTGCCAACTTTTTTCCCTCTTTTAATAGTATTTTAATTCTTGAATTCTTGTAGAGACTTTGTATTGCATTGAGAAACTGATTTGGAAGCACAGGCACTTGGAAAAGATGAATCTTCTCTCTGCTAGCTTTTCAGCTCCTTACGAGAGACTGACTTTTACGGCATTATCTGAGAGTAGAGGATTATGCTTATTATTTGGCTTTTTAATTGGAGATTTGAAAGTGTTAATGTGTCTCTTTTCTGCCTTTTTTTAAATAATTGAATTCATTTATTTTCAGTTTTACTTATATTATTTTGCATTAAAAAATGTTTTAGTCTGGCACTGATATAGTGCGTATTGCTCTTAAAATAATTTGATATGGGTGCTAATGGCCTTAGCTGTTGAAGCGCTCTAAAACTGTAATAATAATCATCATCATATTTCTAATGTCTCAAATGTTTCCAATTACTATGTTAATACAGAATTGAATCAGAAAGTATATCAATCACTCAAAAAGAAATAATTCAACTTCACTGGAACAAAGGTCCTGGACCTGATGCCACTAAATTTTCTTTTACATTGTTTTGCAAATTTAAGACCCTTGCTACTATTCTCCAGATCAATTCACGAAGGAATGTTCTTGGCCTTTTGGAAGAAAGGGGAAAAACTCTCCCTCCCTTCCCCTACACATCATCCCAAATGTAATAACTCTATTTTCCATTCACTTTGAAACACCTAGTGACAAATCTCTAGTCTTGTGTAATACACCTCACCAAACCGATTACAAATTTGAACAAAGTGGTTAACTCAAAGCATTAATACCAACAATTTGGACATCAGAATGATAATCAATTATTTTTTAAAAGAAACAATAGTGCTATATTCTTGTTCCTGTTATTTATTATTACTGTATTTTATAATTTGTGTACTAATTTAATTTAAAAGGTTACTTGCAAATGTCCTGAACATGGGGGAAAAACAGGATCCAAAAGGTTGCCTTTCTGTGCGTATTGTAAATACAAAATGCTAAATTTGCCATTTTTTCTATCTTTTTTAGTGGGAAGGGCTGGAGCCAAATTATTTCCATGAAATGTGAAAGTTGTTAATCTTTATGTATTGGTGGATGTGTGCGGCAGATTGAAGTGACTGTTTAAATATAACAAAGGACCAAATAAATGAAGACAAAATTATTCGTTTCTTCTTTTGTAACGTTGTTATCGTACAACTTGTGATTGGTTGATTGCTTGTTCACATCCAAAATAAAATAAATATAATCTAACTGTTCACAGCTTGTGAATTCTACAAGACTCGTCAGCATTTTGATAACTGAATCAAATGTGACTGATAGGCGAACAAATGCTGACTGCGCACTTGTCCTCTTTTATGCACGATATTGCCCCTTCAGCAGTATGGCTGCTCCTCATTTCAATGCTCTTCCTCGGGCATTCCCAGATATAAAACTTGCTGCTGTTGATGCAATGAAATATCACAGGTAATAATTTCAGCTGATTTTTTATCTTAAGTTATTATATGTATAGCCTGATTTATTTCATCTTTTGACTCAACATAAACAATGATTTTATTCTGTAGGGAATTTAAGTAATTAATAAGTATCACGAGACTGTTTCTAGAGACAAGATTTCTATGCACCATCAAATGTTAAAATATGCATACAAAACACATGATCAACTTCTCAAATATTCATTATGCAGGGTTAAAAAAAAAAGAAAGAAAGCATGTACAATCAAATTGTAGTTTAGAATATTTCTTGTATTTTTCTTGCCTTTTGTAACAGTGAACCGTTAACATCTTTTGTTCTGTCAAATTCATACTTTTGTTAGAAACAAAATGCGTAAAACAACTTTCTATGACATAAAACATAATTGTGGCATACTCCAAAGATTAAATGTGAGTTGATATGAATCAAATTCTGCACTTTCTGATTTTCACCACAAATAATGTTTTTTAAATTTTGGAGAAATTTCAAATCAGGATTTGAATGTAACACTTCATATTATTTCTACGTAGCCCCACTCTCATCTCCAACACTAATTTTAAAGATATTTTAATGTCTTCAACAATTTTTAATTACTCCACAAGAAGTAAACCTACTTTTTCTAAATTCTAAATTGCTGTGGGAATTTTTACAAAATTTGATTAAATATATATTTTTTTATTGTTTTACATACATAGTCTTTTAGACTTTTTTGTTACTCGCAAGCAGACTGAGAGTCTGCTCTTAATTATTTTTTACTCCTATTATGTTCTCAGATATGTTTATATTATGTTCCTATTGTGTTTCCCTCACATGTTCTCAGATATCCCCACAAATGTTCTCTCAAAAGTTCTTAAAAAACCTTCCCAAAATGTTCTCCTAATGTATTTCTACATGCAGTAGCGCAGCCATTGCCAAAGGTTTTTCATTTTGGCCTTCCTCCAATAGCGTGTCCTTGACCTTTTATTCCCCTCTGAAACTTTTGTGCATTGAATACGGATTGTTTTTCATCTTACGCCATCTAAGAATGTTCCCTTCTGTTACACCAGATTTTCTTTTTGTCCCACTCTTGTTCGTTGCCTCCAATTCTTTAATTGTTCTTTCACATTCTTTAACAGAATATTTAAATTGTTTAATTTTCTTGATCAAGTTGTGAACTGCAGACTTGTACATCTTCGTTCTTCGATTTCATAGATAACATGGGAGATAGCGGCAAACCTCCAAGTTTGGAAAGTTCTTCCCCAGTCATCATCTTCACATGTTCTTGTTTTCTGGGCTGACAGCTGTAACTCAGAGCTACAACTGTGGCTAATGTCTAGCCCTTCTCCCTGCTCTCCCTGCATGATATCCAGTGGTGGATCCAGCAAGGGGGGGCACCGTCTCCCAAAAGGTCGAGAGTTTTCATGTGTTACCTTCCTTTATTTGGCAAAATTGATTTAAATATTTATTTATGTTAGAACTTTGCAATAATATTGTATTGTATGATTTTTGCTCTACAAAAATATGTTACATATATAATAACAAATATGTTTAATATTTAACAAAAGTCTATGATGCCTCTCCCCCAATGATTAGCTGGATCCACCCCTGATAACATCATTATACCAACATCTTTTGACGATACAAAACTGCTTTTGAAATTTGTTTCCAAAATAAATTTTGGTTCTTTGCTAAATTTATTATGCTGTTATTAAAAAAATAGCATTTGCAATTTTCTTTATCGCATTTACACAAATTTGAAAACACTCTTCTAATATGGCTCGTTTTTAAAATATGTATTCGAGAATTAAATCATAACATTGTAAACTAGTTGGATAATGTACCATAAGTTTTTTGAAGAATATATGTTCAATGTTAATTTTTTTCATTTCCATTTATTGCAAAACACAGATATGCATTTGCTAGGTGTTGACAAACATTATTGATCAGCACACTTGTAACAAAATCTCCCGAGTCAGAGACTACTTTTGACATTGTTTTCTCTAAATCTTTACAGAATATACACAGTCATGGTGATGCCATTATAAAATGTGTGAAAAGAATATTCATTAATATCCAGAAAAAAATTATTGCTTTACCACTACTTAGAGTACATAAGCATACGAGTGAAATCATTAGCACAATTTCTCTGAATTTTGTCCATTTGTATATGTATTTTTTGCAAGATAAGAATTGTGGGAAAAGGCCCAAAGTATTATTTTACAGTTTGTTGCCTAAGACGTGCTACATCAGTGGATTAACTCAAAGATTTTTTCATATTTCAGTTTTAACACTCAGTATGGAATAGTTGGAGTTCCAACACTTATGCTTTTCCATAATGGGCGACCTGCAGCTAAATTCAATGATTCTGAATATAACTTAGAAGCTTTTGCTAAATTTATAACCAAATACACAGGTGAGGCTTCTTTACTCAATTTAGTTTTAAAAGAATTGAAATTGTATAATTTGAATAACTACTTTCTGTTTTTTATTTGTGAATACTCTTGTTGTTTATTTAATAATTTGAAACCAATTATTAGTTACAAGTTTTCTTGTTTAGGTCTGCAACCCCATGATAAATTGTATGTCACATCAGCAGATTTTGGTGGTCCTGTTTCTAGTGTGCCCACGAAGGAGACAGACTATTGCTTAATTCTTTCTTGGGCCTTCATGTTCGTTTGTGGCCTGTACTTTTTTAGCAAGTCATCATGGTGGCGATGGATTAGTGAAGCTATTCAGAATACATGGCGTGAAGCTGAAGCACAACATGAACATGGAGACTGAAATTATGATTGTTAATTTATTGTTAGATCTGAGTAAATGATTGTGAGGAGTGTAGTTTAAAAATGTGTAAAAATAATATTCACTGCTGGTGTAAATTGAACTACATCATCCATACAGGAAATGTACTCTTAACACCTCCAAAAATGACATTACCAATTTTAGAGAATTATTAAATGTGAATTTAAATTGAGGTATTTGTATATAATGCTGAGTACCTTTGTTCTGATTTTACCATCATTTGAACATTTGTTATACCAGTAAATTTCAGTTGTTTTTTGGTTGGTTGTACTAGGCTTTTATTTTGTTTTGTTGCCTGACAAATATTTGTTACAATAAATTTGTGTATATCATTGTTGCACATGTAAAAATGGTTTAAAATATTAAAATATTATTATTATTATTATTATTATGGATTCTAATTATTAAGCAAATAAAATCTAAATAAAATACTCAATTATACAAACAATATATACTAAGTTGATTTAGATTTATTTAGTCAGAAAACAGTTAAAACTGTATGTGATGTATGGGGGGGAAGATAATTTGTGCACGTTTTCTTGAGTTCCAAAATCCCTTCCCATCATTTTAAGTAAAAATTGTTGAAGGATGAGTAAAAGTTAAAGTTAAATAAATAAATGAATAAAAATAAAATAATAAAAAAAACATGAGATTAGTGACATTTGAAAAACTAAATATTTCATTCCAGAGTTATAGAAAACTTATTTGCTATGAACTGCAGATTTTATTTTCTGCATTGCTAACAAACTAGTAACCCACCCTCACCTCTACTCCTACCACTACAAGCAAAGGAGAGTTCGACAAATCGTGCCTAGTGAATCTACATTTGCAGATTTGCTTGGAATTTTCAAAAGTAAAACAAGTGGCCATCTCAGCATTTGCTCAATGTATCAGGGAAACTGAACAAAAACCTGATCAAGATGGGGGTCATTGACCCAGAAGCTGAAGTTTGTTACCAGCATATTGTCTTTTTTTACAAAATTATACAATACAAATGTAAACTAATTTATTATATATCACTGTTGAGTTAAAAGACAATTATTTTTATTTTTGATGATCGGTATAGTCCCCAATTGTATAGAAGCAGTTATGCAGCAGAAAATATTTTACTTTGACTTAAATTTGTGTACCAACTTCAATTGTTTAATGCTATCTGGCAATGCATTGTAAAGTAACATAGATATATTGTATGTGGATTTCTGGTGAGCTGTTGATACTGACACTTGATAAAAGTGATTTCTATGATGTGTTGTAATCATAAATATCAGCATTGAATGAAAATATGTTCCCATCAATAAGTAAGTCTGTTGTGACAAATATTACAGATTCGTAAATAAATAGGCAAGGCAGTGGTAAGATTCCAAGCTCAATGACCAGAGGTTTGCCGGAATCATGCAGATGGCATTTTTTCATTATTCAAATAATTTCCTTTTTTTTTACGGTGTTACGCCCTGAGGAATGTCGCAGAGTGGCGACCGAAACGTTGGCACCTTCGCCATGGACGCGGCGTCACCCAAATATACTCTCTGGCGTCACCCGGACAGCCTAGTAAAGGGGGCTGCTGGGGGGCTGTCGCTTGTTAGGCTGGGAGGGGGAGCTGATGATTTATGGTAGGCCCGCCATTAATGCGCCTCATTGTGGAGCGCTCTATAGCAACTTTTGCAAACTAGAATGTCTGGCCTTCAAACGTGCTTGCCATCTGACGATAGCTGGTGAGCAAAAGCTTCGAAACTGACCCTCCCACGGCTCGAATTTTGAATTCGTTGTGATTCGTTGTATGTATAACGTGCATAACCGCTCTCACTCACGTTCGCAGTTTGTGTTTTTAAGAATTCCCAGATTTTGAAGGAAATTCCCCGCCTGACATGTGTCGTCGTTCTTTTCACTTCATAATTGCCATATTAATGAATGGTAGACATGGAAAATACAGTCTTGCCAAAGTAAGTTGATATTAATATTATTGCACGTTTGTTAAGAATGGTTTCATATGATTACGATAATATTTTACAAACATGGCTATTAATTACTGTACATTGTTCCATCAGTTTTTTGTTTAGTCCTATTATTTTTGTTTCAATCATTGAATTGGTATATTGTGATATTGGCAAATTTATATATTACAAATTTTATTATAGGGTTTTATGAAATGCTGATAGTAATTAGGACCTAATACTGGCGTCTTGTCCACAGGAACATGAACAGGAGGAGGTACTTGTGCATAGAGCACATCTTGCTAGAATGTCAACTGCAAAAAAACAGCTGTGTGAATCGCAGTCCTCAGTAAATTCCTGACAATGCCTGAGGTGCTAATGGAGAATCCAGAGCATTAGAGAAAGCTTGGGAGAAGTGGGTAAGCGACATGCATGAGCATTCCATGATTGTATAATAGGAGCTTTAAAATTTTGTTCAAGCTCAATCATTGTCTCTTTGATTTGCAGGGCCTGCCTACATGTTGTAGCTATATTCATTCCGCTTCCTTTGCATGATCTGGTTAGTACAGAAACTTTTTTTTTTTTTTTTTTTTGTTTTATGAAGGTGAGACAGCATATACATCTTGGAATTTCAATAATGCTCTATCTGTATTACAGCAGTTCCCTATTGCTGGAAAAGAGTGCAGGACATCGTGGAGTTGGCATTTATTTAATATGTGATACAAAGTATAATATGTCCAATTTTGGGTCGTCTTTTACTACTGTTGTATGGTTAATTTTGGTTTTAAGTGGATATGCGTAGTGTGTAGTGTGTTTGTGGTCCCAATAAGACAATTGTCTGTTTCAAAAAGTTGATGATTATTTTGAGCCTTAAAGTTACTTTAATTTACTGTGAAATGGTATTCTTTCACCAACATCAGGCTAGGATGTGAGCTATTGTTGAGAGTGTCAAATGTAAGTTCAGTGCATATACGTTGGAGGTTAGGATAGTTTTTTACAAGAGTGATTTGCATTGTTCCAAGCTATTATTACAAAGAATGTTATTAAGAATTGATACATATCTTGTGTAAAAGTTTGGAATACATATGCATCTCTTGTGTTGTTTTTCTTTCAATATGTTTTCTTAATTAAACCTGCAACAGACCTAAATTTGTCACAAAGTGATGGCATATAAATATGTTTTGAAAAGGAAGTTAAAGTGCACTTTTCTTGCATTTTATCTATTTAAATACTATCATCATGTGAACATTCTCCATTTGGCGGAATGACATAATATTTGGGAGTATCATGCACAAACATTGTTAGCCAGTGTTTGAGAAGTGATAATATTTGTATATGTTCATCACATGAAAATAATTTACCGTCATTTGGCTAAACAATAGTAATTTAATATAAGAGAAGCTTCCGATGGCTTAGCCATCAATCATCAGTTGTCCTGTGATGAGAGCCACAAAACGAACTACGCTACGTGGCTATTAAATACTATTCTTGGCTGACAACGTTTATAATTTTTTCATGAAAAAGGCCAACGATAACTGCACAAACACCTATATGTTAATCACCATTAATGTCCCTAAATTTAATTTGGCATCAGTAGTTAAAAAGTCATGACTGAATGGACATATTTGAAAATCATTTCTTAATAATTAAATCATTGGACTATCTAATGGAAATACTATGTAATTTTCTGAGTGTATGATGTGATATTGTGTTGTAATTGAGCAACTTACTGTGGGTTTTTGGGCAATTAAATATATTGTCAGAAGCAAATTTACAAGTCTAAAAAGTATTTTGGGATAAATCGATTTGAAGTAGATTCTATTAAATCTACTCGTATCTTTTCCACATAGGGCATTAAAATCTCTTCTTCTAACATAAGAATGGATTTTTTCCTGAATATCCAAGCCAGCAGGACTCAAATTTTTTACTGATAAAGAATAGTAGAAAATCTGCCTTGGCAATGTAAATATAGTCACAAGACAAACAGTTAGGAAGACTTTTTATACGAGAAACAACCATAGTTACAGTTTCACTTTGTATACACTAAAATGTACCAAATTAAAGTGTTTGTTTCTCATATAAAAAGTTCTTCCTAACTGTTTGTCTTGTTAACTATATACATAGCTCTTTGTACATAGTTTGGATTGTTACCAGGAAATTTACTCTTATTTTCTAAACAATATTTCTTACACACTGCTAAATGAACGATTTAAAGAATTCAGGAATTGGTTGCTCTGGCCAGGATTTCGAAACTGGGCCTTATAGTTTAACGCCAGATTCTGTGACCACTGAGGTACCGAGACATAATACAGTTTTTGGTGTGTGATTATCGCTCTTATATATATAATTGTCACCATAACCATTTGCATCCAAGAAGGTGACAGGAAGGGTGAAAATTATAAGATATAATTTTAAGTAGGTATTTGTATGTTACATTTGGTTATATTTTGTATTGTTTAGCTGCAGTGAAATTGAGTAATATTAGTGTGGCACATGATTTCAGCCACGAATTTATTTATTTTACATAACATGATTTGTCTTCATGCATATTGTTTCTTTTTGTACGATGTGTATTTATGTATTTTGCAAATAAAAATTATTTTATATGAAATATTTGCACATTGCATCATTACAATTTATTTACAACTATACACAATTATAAATCCTTTCAGACTGAGCGAGACTTCTACATTATCTTACGCATATAATTTCACGTAAAATAAATTCTTAATTACCTGCTCGTATTGGAAAATTGGTAAAGAAATTTCAATGCCGGGTAACGTCTGCCCTCCATTTCAATTGGTAGATCGCCTTCGCAGCTTATTGGCTTGCCGAGGGCCATTAATGAATACTTCATTCTGATTCGTTGCTTCCGTCGGAGTGGGAGGTCGGCCTTCATCCCTCCATGAAAATAAGGAAGCTTCGAAGATAATCATTGAGTGCAGATCTGTAATATACTCTCTGCTAGTAAATCCGGCCGCGGAAGCCCACGCTCTCTTAATTTTCTTTCGCAATCGAAAGGTCTGGGTACTACATGACGAGATGCATGAAGGCTGACAGAATTTGAAAGAATTATGAATGCGAACATAATGAACTTAATTTAGTGTTTAATTTTGTTACATGTACATTCCATTTTGAGATATGACTGAATTGAGAGACCTAGAAATTTTGTAACCTTAAATACTTAAAAAATAAACACTAATAATTAAATACTTATTAAATAAACTATAGTACTAAATACTTAATTACTACTAATAGCAACAAAACATAAGTAGTAAATTGATTATTGAAAATAATTGATAAAATACATCATCCTTCAAATGGCAAAAGAACTGACCGAGTACATGCTCAAAGTGACCACCATTTGCCAACAGACAGGTGTTTACTCTTTCAGTGTAGTGGCTGCAGTACGTTCAAGTGTAACAAGAACAAAATAAGTGATTTCTCTTTCTTCCAACTAAAATTAGCCACATTCTCCCATCCTAAAATCTGAGGGTACGCGGCTGCGGCGGGTCGCTAAACATGAA